TAGGTATGTGAGATGATATTGCAACACAATCTCAGCTTTTTTTTAGCTTGCAATCATTGTTTTTTTTATTTATTTACTAGGTGTAATAGAAAAGCTGGTCCTGAGTACAGTAATATAAGTGGTAGTATATCTCAATCTCCACCCACTCACAGTAGCCTCACTGTTTATTTTCCTTCCTGTCTAAACCGCCTCTTCTATGCTCAGTCTAGTCGGCTGCTGGCCAATTCAACCGCGATTAATCACAGTTTTCCTGTTCTTTCTTTTCTTCTTGTCCCCCATTTAACTGGAATTGTTTCCACACAGCTCTACATCATGCTCCTGGGTAAGAGTTGAAAGAGGGCCCGGAAGATAGGCAGATAAGGTGGATGTAAGATAAGGAGATTAGAAAAATGGGTGCGCTCACAGAAAGGATAGGGGAAAGACAGGGATGGAAGGGGCCGAGAAGATGGAGGATTGATAATTTAGCTGACAGAGGAGGGTACAGAGATGAGAGTTAAGGGAGTCTCTGAGAAAATCAAGACTCAGAGAAGTGGTGAGGGCTGTAAATCTGGAGAAAGCTAGTTTATATAAACTGACAGAAACTAAAAAGCTAAATATTTGAGGAAAAATAGGAGTCACGAGGAAAACTATGTTGCAGGTTTAACAGGGTTGTTTTGGTCTAAACGAAGATATGGCAGTATGTCCAGGAAGGCATGCGGAGAAACTAAGCCTGCTTCACCTTTCCTCTGAGGTTAACTGGCAGGTGCGTAGTCTACGGCAGCCAGGGATTAACAAGCTGTCTATTGAGAAATGCCTTGTAGTAAACATACTACTATCTTGATAAAACATAATCCAGCATGCGTCATTTTATGTGTATGTGTTTGAAGGGAGGTGGTAGAGATTCATGACTGTCAGGATTAATCTCATCTCCATAAGCCCACACACAGCAGCAAAAATGTTTTTCTTGACTGGATTTAGACGGTTTGACTACAAGTTTCCATTGGAAGTAATACAAAAGGATTACATTTAGGCTGATTGGCAGCTTCTCTAAGCAGACTGAATTACAGGCCAGGAACATCTCACCATTATTTGTTGTTGTATCTAATTCCTACCCAACACTACAAAGACAAGATTAGTTAATCAGCTGGTTTGGGTTTTGAATATAAATCTGCATGCTCTCAGTACATCATAGCAGATCCCACAAGGCACAGGAAGTAAAATACAGACACATACGCACACTCTCAAAATACAACAGCATGTTCCTCTGTGTCTATCCGGGGGGAGATGGGATAATTTTATCTTTTTCAACCCTCGGGGCAGAGGGACAACTCACTCTGCATTACATTTTCACTGGGATGCAGATGTTGGGCAGATGTCGTCACTCTCTCTAACACAATATGTTCTTTGTCCAGAACAGGAAATGCCCATGCAAAATATCCAATACTACAGAAGCCAGAATCAACCTGAAGATGATTAAAAATTCAGTGTAGACCTGCTGGTTATATCATTACATGAGTCAATACAACAGCAGCTGTTACTAATTGTTGCGGTACTGATGTCATGTCTATGCTGGTGTTACGTCCAGCTAATGCATGTACATTACAAAGAAACCAGGCAGAGGGAGCAACGTTTTTGGAGAATCTTTCTTGCAAATGTTTTCTCTCTCTCTCTCTCTTCTGTATGCCAGATTTTAGACATCCGGGGAGTGCAATATTTTCAGCCATGTGAGTGAATATTTCCATGAGCAAACAGAAGTCTGCTTGTAGCCAGAAAGATCTGTGTCTATTCAACAAAGACTGGTCTAATACGCACATGTCTAAAGCACATAGTATGGAAAACTGTCATTTGCTGAAAGATAGCATTTGAATGTCTGGTGATATTTTGAATCATGTTTACTTATTATTACTTATATATAACTTTTGTAGGGTTTTGTAGAAAAACATGTTTTTTCCTCCTCTAGAGAAACTCAGGTCTACCCAGGCATGCAGCAGCTCTGTGAGGATAGGCACAGCAGGGTTTTGAGCTAAATGCTAACATTGGCTTGGTTACATGCCCACAATGAAAATGCTAACACACTTAATTTAGCAGGGAGTGTTACCATGTTCACAATATTAGTTTAGAGTGCTAGGCTTTGAACATTTGATACTAACTTAGCAGCAGACAAAAAAGTACAGCGGAGGCTGAGAACAATGTTTTTAGTTTTGCAGGTTTATCATCAAAAAACAAAAGCATTGGACAAAATAAAATTATACCTGATGATGGCACTACATAGAAAGTCGAGTGGTCAACAGACTTGTTACAGATTTACATGGAAATGAACATGAAATCTCATGAAAAGAGTCAGTACGATTCATGCTTCGGGAACAACAGATGTCTGTCCTGTATTTAAAGACAATCGATTCAGTAATTTTTGAGATATTTCAGTCTGGACCGAGGAAGTCTACCTACTGACCATCATTGCCATCGATGCTAGCAGCCATGGTCTCCATCAGTATATGTGAGGAAACATGCTGCTGTGTGTCAGAGTGTCCTATACCTGAGTTGGCTCATGGTATCCAATGTCAAGGTTGCTCTCTGATGAGCAGGATTTAACAATCAAAGTCAGGGATGATTTGAGAGGCCCTCAGCTAAGAAGGAAAGCTTGCGATGACGATGGGAAGAAAATGAGAAGTGCAGAGGAAAATAAGAAAAGATACAAGTCTCTCAACAACAATAAGACCAAGAATTTGATATTTAGATCAGATTACAGGGCCAGAGGGTTGCTGCAACGGGGTTTCTTCATAGTAAAATTGGACAGAAAGAAAAAGGAGACTGGACTAAACCAGTAGAGAGCTGTTCGTCACTGTGGACCTCTGCACAGCAACGGCTCCTCAGTCTAACAGAGCAGTTAAGTATTACTTGCCATACAGATGTGTAACTTGTTTGTACTGTGCTACGTAGAGAGAGGTGAGACTGTAAAAGCAGTGTATGTATGTGAATTTGTGTGTACGTGAGATAGAGAGAGAAAAAGAGTGAGGGGAAATGGGTGAGGGAGTATGTGCGGTTATGGTGGTATGCTGGTAGTGGGGGAGGTCGCAGGATTGACCGTTACAAAATTCCACACCTTGAAAAAACATATGGACTGCTCCCACCATATTTTCTTGCTTATGTTAAATACGGCTAATACATTAAAATATATGAATACTACTTGAAATGAAGTTGATTTATATATGAGGAGATATACGAGATCTCACATGCATTATAGATTCAGCAGGAAGTTTTCCAGGCGGTCATCCAACTTCAAGACATCTGCCTTACACTAAAGCTGTCCATTTAGCTCTTAACACAAACCAACGACTGTTATAGGTTCCTCTCTCGTGGTGCTTCACTGCCTCGGGGGGTGTCAAAACTCCATTGGAGTATCGGACCACACAGCGGGGGCATGCTTACGGAAGAGAGGAGGCTCCAGAACCAATCGAGGATGCTTTTGATCCCCAGTCGAAGAGGATGTCCAGCTTAAAAGTGCTGATCCCCGCAACATCTTTGACTGATGTTCCGCTTTCATGCAAGCCACAGATCAAAGGCTGAAGGTCAGCCTTTAAGGGTGAGGCACTTTAACGGCACTATGACTCCACACACACACACAAGTAGGTCTTGACAGACACAGCCCGATACACTCAAGGGGGTAAAACACAGGCTACAAATACTGGCATATGATAGGACCATGACCATGTAAATAAAGTGTACCTTCTCAAACATGTCTACACATATTTAGTATATGAATAAGTGTTTTCAGAACTTCAAATTAGTCCTCCTCACACATTCCAAGAAACACACCCTGACAGATATAAAGGTCTGGTGACTGAATGAAACAGCTGCTAAACCGTGTTGAGCCACAAAACACTTTCAGGAAAGAGATTACAGGATACAGATTGGGGGAGTAAACCACATGTCCACTTCAACCAGAGACTCTCACTTCGTCACAGCTGGATGCAATAAAACCACTGCTGTGTTAAGTGGTGGATTGTATATAAAAAATAAATTAGTATCTTGTACATCAATGTCCTTGTTGCAAATGTACAACTCTATAACAACAATCAATAATGTATACTGTTAGGTAGTGGATGGTATATATAAACAATAAATGATGTTCTTGTACATAAATCCACAAGTCCTTGGTGCATATTTACAACTTCATAAAAATGTAATTATGAATACCTGGTATACCCAGCCAAAAAGATCTGGTGCCATAAAAGAGCTTAGGGACAGATCAGGTCTAGTGCTCAGTGGTTTAGTCCTTCACCTTTGTCTTGATTTATGGTTTATTTTCCACTTCTCTGGGAGTACTGGACTGTCTGTTCTTGGAAGTGTGTTATGTCTGCTGTTAAAATGGGAGGTATTTCTTCTTACTATACTGCCAGTTAAATAGCATCTTGCCCAAAATATGAATGAATAATCACTTTTTTAACAGGATAAGTCTTCAAAAGTAGGACATTTATAGGCTACGTAATACCATAATGCAGTTCTGGATCATCCTGTGTACTGTTACACCCTTTTAACCTTTCAAAAATCATCTTCCCTGGGAACACACTATCAAAGCAGCCAATAAATCTCTCTTGAGCTGCTTTACATTAGATAGGGCCTTTTTCTCTTGTCAGTGGTTTAGGGTGTGCTGTTTTTCTTTTAAATTGGGATCTTATGGCAGGACTCTGCATTACATCCAGAAACACATTGAGCAGCTCTCAATGAGTCAGGTTTAACCCCTGACGAGGAACAGGTGAATCCAGATCTTCTAGCCCTACCTTCATGTTGAGGTGTGTTGAACTACCCCTATTAAATAGGACTACAGTGTAAACACACACAAACAGACAACAACCTGCGCACCTGCCAGCCGAAATAGAGCCCCACTTGTTGCCATTTCACCAAAGTTTCCCCCACTTTCTGGAGGGACACGCCTTTTCCATTTCCTGGGATATTTGCATTCAGTTTTGACATGCAAGTTAATGAAACGCCTTAAGGGACTGGTTTAATCGCATGGCCGATGTGCATCATGTGTCACGCAAACTAGGCATTTTAAATATATTACTATAATCCCCTCGGAACTGAATAAAATGTTCCATTTCAGCGTCAAATGCGCAGTCATAGAGTAGCCTTTTCCATTATCTGGATCCTATTGGCTACATTACACCCTGATACAAGTGATTTTAAGTGAGCTATCCGTAGTTAACTACCAAGTTAACTTAACGAGACGAGAGTATGGTATCTTAATTAATTTAAGTTAATAATTAAGTTTAGTCGAAAGGTAACGTTGGTAGAAGTAAGCTAAAATACAGAGTTATAATAATAATAATAATATATACAAATAAATATTCACTTAGGCTAGATAGAGGGTTAGTTTCACAATCATAGGATAGGATGACGTTATTCGCTGCTGGTCACGAAGAGCAGTAACGGCGTTACTGCGCACGTTACCCTCCCAACAGCACGAAGCCACAACAGTGGCTTCAACCGACAGAAGGGAAGATAGAAAACGCTCTTCCCGGTAACAAAGCACACAAACTAAGCAATACCACGGAACAGGTGAAATGTGAAGTGTTACATTAGTCGCTGTAAACCCGAACAGACGGTTACCATGGCTCAGGTAGAGACGTCACTCGTGGGTCACTGCGCAAAGCACCGCCGCATAGCAGCCTCTCCACCGCTGTTATCAAGTCCATCTGTTACCCACACAAGCACAGCTTACCTGCAGGTCTGTGCGGGTCCTCTCCGATGGCGTCCTCTGCGGCAGGATATGAGGACTAATACATACCGAGTTGGCCAAAAGGAAACATGTAACGTTAGTCCAGGTTCAGCGCGTAATAGCCGCAGGGTGGAACTGGAAATAGTAAAGACGGTGCTCTAACGACAAACAGAGAGGTTCAGCAGCCCAGTGCCACTGCGCTCTCTGGCCATGAGCTAGTGAGAAGATAAACGCCCCCTCCGCCTGCTCCATCTCTCTCCACACCGCTCCCTCCCTCTCATGTTTTACTCACAAGCGGATAAACACGATGGCTTGCCTACATAAACCATGCTATCAACATATGGTCTGTTATGCAACTAAAGCAGTTTCACATTGAGCACCCTTTATCTGCTTTTTTAGAAAGCAGCCTGCTCAGACAGTTCCCAGTGGAAATATGACGATACTGACATCACACACATCATGCAATGCAACTATCCACTATCTCCTCACGTCTATCTCCTCCTGTGTTTATTTCCTTATCATATCACATGATGTGCTTCAGTTTTGGTTCTTGTCCGTTTTCCAGGTTATATGTTGGATAGGAGTTTGTTTGGCTCATGCTCTGTTGCAGAAACCTGAAAGCTTGACATCCTCATTGCCAATTTTTTCATATCACAATCTGTGCATTTTGGCATATTGATTCCCTAAGCATAATGCGTTTTATGATGTCTCTTCTGCACACAGAACAACTATTCCACATATCATTTGAGACGGACCACTTAAAGGTGTTGTTTTTGAAAATGTTCCCTCTCCAAATCATATTGTAATGCACCCCGAGGCACATCTGTGATATGGGGAATCAAAAACATATTTGACTTGACTATCTAGGTTTCAATTTCTCAAATTATGGCTAAAAGTAAGCCCCAAACTGGGATGGTAAAAGTCTCCCACTGATGTGAAAAAAGTGTAATGTGAAGAAGACAGGTGAGCAGGTACCTGACGTTTCTGGCAGTCGTGCAGCAGCAAGGACAATGAGCTGGGAACAGAGCTGTGCATGAAACTCTAACTCCCTCGCCTCTCCTGCCCTCCAGCCTGGGTTTGCGGAGGGGGAGTAAGCAAACCCGGGCCAAACTCAAACTGTTTTCTCATGCCACATGGCACCTTGGCTTTATGCCTGCCTCTCCTTTATCCCTGGTCTGATTGTCTCTCTGTCGTACACAAACACAACACTCTAGGTTTTTGAACATGCTGTTGAAACTGCAGTTCTGACTCGACTGAGCCTAAATGCAGAACATTAAATAGGCCGATACAGAACTCTCATATCAACAGCAACCATCTCTCTCTGTATCATTGTTTTTCTCTTGTCACTCTCATTAGATTGTCTGCACTGTACACTCCTAAAATAACCTGTGCAGCTCAGAGGATTGTGCTAATGCCATTACGTTACTACTGAGCCAGAGGGAGATACTGAAGAGATGGGACAGGAAGAGCGAGGACACTTCAAGTTGACATTATGGCACATGGATAATGACTCATATTCCATAGGCAGGGGCTTAGGGTTCAACATATTGGATCACTTATGTAACATGCTACTTATATTTATAAAGAACATAAAGGGGAATGGATGTTTGTATCAAGTTTTGAAAGAAATGTAATGCAATTTAGATTATGATCATATGTAGGCTTTGTGTGTCTGTGTGTGTTTGAACGTGTACCTCTATCTGCTACTTACCTCCTGAGTGCAGTGTTTATCATAGAAAATGATAATTATCCAGTTACGTTAATAAGATTACTGTAATCTGGTGTACCAGAGGGGATCTGATTAAGCTAATATCCTCCAACTACATTAAAAAGACCCCGATGAGTCGACTTTCACAGGTGCCCTCTTTCTATAGTGTAAACCAAGGGGAGGATAAGTGAGATATTTGATCTTTGGTGGTCCCATGTTGCTTCACTTATTAAAAAAAATGCCTCCTGTCCCAGTTTTTATAATTATATAGTAGGTCATTGCACATTATGACACAGAGAAGCTTTCCCAGCCGTGGACCTGAAGGGTAAAACTCAATCAGATTTTTACTGTAACTATCCTACTATTAATCTGTTTTCTCTTTTTGAATTGAATAATTGTCCTTATATCTAAGATAAAACAAGGCCAAATAGCTGCATTTTTAAGGGAATGTCCAACTTGTATAAAGTCAAAACAGCTCATCTTACACATATTGCCTTTGACTAACAGCTCTTGATTTATGGGGAATTTTCTCAGGCTTTAAATAAAGTCAAAGGGGAGCAGTATTTAAAGTTTGCTAAATTAACAATTTCTTAAAAAGGAAGAAGTTAGAAGCACCGACACTGATATACACCAAAACTACAAATGGTACTCATGGTATTCCAAACCCATATTATGGATAGGGTTTCTATACCATCTTTGTCCAGGAATGTGGTGAATACATTCCACTTAGTCATTTAAATTGATCCTAGTAAGGGCTCTGAAATGTAACTCCGGAGCAGACGGAAGCGTTTCGTCCTCCAATCTATCAGGCATTGAACCTTAATCACAGCCAGTCAAAAGGGGATCCTATCAGATGGTAGAACAAAGTGAGCTTTTTTCATTGAGAACAGCCAAGACCTTCAAATGCTAATGTCCATCCACATATATGACGCAGAATAGCCTAAGATATAAAATACCTCCCCCAGCTCTGTACTTCCAGCCTCTCTCTCCATGACTTTCCCCTCGCCCTATGGTTGTCTAGACACCGAAGAATAATCTCCCCAACTCTGGGCCCCAAAGACAGACTTCCATGTGGGGACTGCCTCACCCCGTCCCTCAGTCTCCCCTCAAGGCTGCCTCCAGTGGCATTAGGTTTCACCACATCTAAGGTGAATCAACATAACTCTCTTTAAGTTTTATCCATTTTAGGTATTGTATCAGATACTGTAATATAAATCATCTGTTACCATTCAGGATTAACACCATCCATCATGTTGAGCAGTAGGCATGGAGTGTGGGTGTGCAAAGAGACCATTTTGGGGTTCAAACCTACACAGAGCCTGGATAGTAAAACAGGATCAAATTATTTTTTAATTATAAAATAATTATATAATAATATTTTTCAAAAATGTATCCCATGGACGGATATAGTGAACTTTAAAATAATATGATAACACTGAAAACAATTAAAATCAGAGATGTACAATGTTGAAATGTTATACATTCCTATATATATATATATATATATATATATATATTACATACTTTTAAATAACTGTGTATATATATTATATATATATAATATATATATATATATATATATATATAAACCCCAAGGGGCCAATTTAATAGGACACTGTACATTCTACTGCAATGCAAAACTATCTTACCATAAAATGTACTTGACTTGACTTGAATTTGACTGATGGGTTAATAACAATCAGGTTTTATCAGGGAATACCCACTTCAAGAGCACTTGATTTTGACTCTTACACACAAACAACATCTCTCTAACTTAACTACCACAAGACCACCTCTCACATATTGTCACTGGGAGATAAACAAATTCCATCTTGCTGCTGCACATCTGCAAATAGACACGAGACATTTCCATTTTGCTAGAGCTCTAGAGCTGGCGCCCCCTGGTGCCTGCAGGGAGTCAATAAGCCCTCTTAGATTAAGTAGACTTGATGGGAGATGTCCTCTCAACTGAATAATTGCCCAGGGCATGACACAAGCTGAGACCCACCACTTACATAATGCGCGTGCCACTGTTGTGTTGTTTGAGTCTTTGCGTGTCCACTTGTGCGCACGATGGCTTTTTCTTTTAAATTAATGTCTTCACCTCCAGCACACTTTCACCTCTCCCGATCTTCTTATAAAAATAATATTCCTGTTGTCTCCGCTCTATTTTTACTCTGCTTTTCTTCTTCACAGTGACTCTGCCCTGGAGCCGGCCCCAGCTTCTGTCCGACTCAACTGAGAGTGGAGATGAAAGCTGACTCACAGATTCATTAACACGCACGGCTGCACAAACTTCCACAAATAAACTTGTTCTACAGATGTAGGCCATGCACATTCAGACACACACAGCAACTACTACATGCATGGTGCACCTGCTTACTAAGGTAGCATGTTAGACAATATTTGCCTCTCAAATTAAGGACAGGAAACAGGTTTGGCGTGTATGCAGTTGGCACATTTTACAATGACGTCTCTTAATATATTTTAAACAAACATAATATTGCTCAGTCATTGCCATAAAGGGACATTAATGGGTCAACACCCCTAAAGAAATGTTCATCTCCAGAGACAGTCACACAAGCCCCAAGTAGTGACGGAAGATAACTGCAATCCCTGCTTAAAAGACCAGCTGACACAGCCAACTTATGCCTATAGATAAACATTCAGACACCATGGCACTTCGAGCATCCAGCCAAGTAGCTTTTTTACGATGTGACGGAAAGGCACAGAAATGCCACGAAGAAACACAATACTCCATTTTGGTGTCCAATGACCTTTTCAGACACGCATACAGAGGCCGTGACGTGTTGGTGCGGAGTGTAATAGGAACCGGAGGGCTTGGCAGAAATAATTCACCCAGGGTCATGGTGAAATGTGTTGTGCTCACATAGATGTACATGTAAAAAAAAAAGGGTGGCATGTGATAGTATCTTGCAGAAAACATCTTCCAATAGATCCTGACACCTAGTGGCCTCTTCTGGAAACATTTAGTAGTCGCCACCATGAGAGTGGTTGGTGCCTTCGGTGGGCTTAATTGAAATGCTAATCGGGCCTTTTTCTCTCAAAATACAAACACCAAAAAATAGCAGATATTACATGTTCTCTTTATTAAAAAATAAAAACACCTGCGTGCTGTATTGTACTGTAGTAGTGAAAGCATACGAAAGAAGGCAAAAAAGGTGACAGTAAACAAAAACACATGTAGACCAAAACCCTGAGAAATGTATTACAATAATTTGTTTTGTACCATGTATAAAGTGTCTATCAATTTCATTCTGATCGTTCTTTTTTATGAAACTACACAAAATGTGTCATAATTGTGTAGTAATGTGATGTGAGTCCTGCTGTATGAAGCTTGTTTACCTGATCGCACAGTGTGATTCTAGGCAGACTTCTTTGCCTTCTTGTGATGACCTGCCTTGGCTTTTATGTCCTTCACAGTATCCATTTTTTCCTTCTTAATTTTTTTTTCTTGCCTGCTACCGTCAGTTTTTCTTCATCATTTTCCTCTTTCTTCTTCGGCCGCTTCATATGTAGCATTTCTTTCAGATTTCGGAACTTTTTGAGGTCAGCGCACAACAACACCTAAAACAAATAAAATACTTAGTGGATATATCAGACGGATTAAAAGATACAAGACAGAAATTCACAGAGACACAACACTCACCGACTGTGCCCAACCAGCATAAGGACCCCACAGTTTTCTGAAAAAGTCCCCTGTGCAAAAATATTACATTTAAACAGTGTTTTCAATCAAAAATAACAATTACTATGATGATAATTGTTCTGCTCCTAACACTAGGATGGGTCAAATGCAGAGAAACAATTTCATTACATAGTACCTGTACTGTGTAATGACAATAAAAGTGCAAAAATAAAGAAAATAATGAGTGTGCAGTGTTTCCCCTAGGATGGAGTCATAGCAGCGGTGCTAAGGCACGTGGGCCCAGCATAATGTGAGCGCCGAGCGTGTGGAATTTTTTAGTGTGTGCGCGTGCGAAGTGCGCCCCGCCAATTTGTTTCTATGTGTCTGCCAGCACAAGAAAGGCTCTTGAGGCCTAGTACCAGGGCCGGTTCTAGCCAATTTGCTGCCCGAGGCAAGATTTTAGGCGAGATTTTATATATAAAGAATAAATGAAAAATCTCTACAAAAGACAAATACACTACAAAAACAGAAACTTATTGACATAGGTAATAGGTCAAAATGGCTTCAAATGTATTCAGTATTGTATGAACATTTTTAATTGGGGGGTGGACATCACCTCCTCTAGGGGGGTCCGGGGGTATGCCCCCCTGGGAAGATTTGTTTTAACATTTTAAAGTAAAATGCTTCAATTTGGTGCACTTTGAGCACACATTACTAGAGACCTGATCTAGGGGGTACAACTCTAAACACCCATATGAAAAAGATCGGTTTACATTTTAATAATCAATAAGTATGTGAACATAACCAATAACCTACCATAGCCAATAACAAATAAATGTAACGTATTTTATTTTTACTACGGCCCTGCCAGTACATACAGTGGCAATGTCTCAAGATTTAGCAAAAATACACCTTTATTGAACATACAGTAACACAAATACTACAAATCCACATAACAAACTATCAAAATTATTTTAATTTAAAAAAAAAGAAGTAAAAAACAAAAACAAAAATTATTTAATTTGTTTTGGGTACCTGGCTGGCGCCCCCTAGCAGCGGCGCGCATATTTGTATATAGGGGAAACACTGGTGTGACACTACAAATATAGTTCTAATGAAGTGCATGACTATTTACTGTACAAATATCTCTATGAAGTTTACCTGTGATATACTTCTGTCCGTTGGCATATCCATAGATGTAGTCACGTCTAGCAATCTGCCACACGTGTGTGTCTATGGGCACGGCCTCTGCCTTATCCAGGGACATCAGACAAACACAGTCTGCCACCTGAAGGAGAAACATTGCCTTAATTGTATCGAAATAACAAAAAAATATGAACTAAAGGATTATTTGTATTGCAGTACGCTACTCTACCTTAGGAGAGACACCAGGAAGGGTACGCAAAGCATCACGGGCCTGCAGATATGGGGCACTGCGCAAACCTTCAAGCCACTGGATCCCATGGGTGTCTAAAATCTGCTTAGCGCTCTGCTGAAGGAACCGAGCCCTGTACCCAAAACCAAGATCCTTGAGCCGTGCCTCTACGCTGGTGTCTGCCAATTACAGAAAACAACACAAGCATCGTGACAATATGTAGGCAATGTAAGTATTCAGTTGCATGGAATATAGAGGCATTAGTATGAAGACATAAACACAAACAATGTAGTAACACATTTAGCATAACGTCTAATTTATGTACCACCCAGTAATCAACCATAGTACATCTTATTCATCTTCATGCATGCAACAGAGGCTGTTTGGTAGTGAAAAACATGTTAAATGTGGGGGTTGCATTGATGCTGTTTGTGAGGACATGTTTGTCTATTCTGCAACATGACTGAAGTTGAAAATATTGTGGCAATGCAAGAATAAAAATCAAAGCCTCCTCTTTGGATGTTCTACCATTGAACCACAAATAATATAACAAAACTGAAGGGACAAATTATCAGAATATCATATCACACAGGGGCATAGGACTGTAGGGAAATATAATAATAGAGTACCTGCGAGCGCAGACAGGGAAGGAAAGTTGTGGTAAGAGGTTTGATCCAGTTGGCACAGCGGTGCGCCCAGAGACTGACACAGCCTCTCCACCATGCCCTGGATACAAGTGATGTGGTTGTGGCAAATTAAGGAAAACAGGCATTCTGTTGGGTCCTGACGCAGCATCCTTATACCTGGGGAGAGAAAAACAATAGGTGTTAGGATAATTTATTTTGTCTTACTCAAAACACAACCACTGATAAAGAAAAGAAAAGACCCGAGTAGAAGAGAAGAGAGACCTTGTGATGCTCTCAATTTTTAGGTGAACTTGGCTCGAAATACGGGTACTGATTTTAATATTATTTACATTTGTGTTAGAATTATCAAGTATTTTTATTTCCATATTACTTTCCATTCATTATTGCAATCTAGCCCAGTTTTTTTGTTTTTAGTTTGTTCTAGTACATTCTGTGCTGCATCTCTTGAAATGCTTTACAAATAAACTGTATTATTACATTATTTCTTTACTAAACAAATACTGTCTTCTGTAAAGACCTTCTTTGTAATAAGTGTATAATGCATGCATGCACGGATTGCACGCACTCTGACCTGTGAAGATGACTGCAATGTGCTTAAAGTGGTGGTCTGCTGCTCCCCATTCCTTGTAAAGGTCCCCCAGCTTCACATTCAGCTGGAAATAATCCCTCAGCATCTCTTCATCGTCCTTGGTGTCCTGATGCACTGGAGTCACAGCCACTGGCTCCTCTTCCTCCTTCTTCACAGCTTCTTTGAATCTGTTGTCTGACTTGTTTTCCAGCTGAAGAGAAACACTTGTCTCCCCTTGCCTGTCTAGGCTTTGGTAAATGTGGTACCAAAGAGTGTCATCTGTCTGAGTCAGAGTCCAAACCCTTCCTCCTATCACTCCTGTCCAGTGGCCTTCTGCAGTTTCTCTCCACCTGTGGGTAGAAAAGAGTTAATACAAAGATACACACGAGGATTTCAACTGTATTAGGTCTGTCCAGCAAGTCTCATGTTAATCATGATGCTGACAGACTACATCTGAGCTAGACAAAACTTACCGGAAAGATTGTCCGCATGCAAGAGTAAGATCCAGACGCAGCTCTGACTTTGCACAGGCCAGAGATCTCCACAACTTCGCCCCCGATGACAGCACTGTATGTTTAGCCATACCTGTTGTTGTGATGCTAACAGTTAGCGTGATGACTGTTCAGAGGTAAAAACAACTGAACACAGACCTACCATAATGTCCGAGCATTACAAAACCAGTTAACTGTTATTCAGTATATGTGCCTGCTCGAAAGTAAGACTACACCTTAGTGTAACATAATTGTAAGCGGAGCTACAACTTCATTCATGACTTCAGTGCGGGGTTAATGCATGGATGTATAATTACCCGATCTGCATCCCTGCCCGATCTGCATTGCATGTGCGAGATGGTCCGCCAAACTCCGTACGGCAACCCAAATAGAACATTTGACGTCGAGACGGCTGACCAATATGCAAATATGCTTTGCGCATGCGCGAGTTTTAAACTTAAAAGATGTTTGAATGGTGATATACACACAGTGATAGATGTTAAAGTAAAGGTGGGGTAGGTCATTTTGGAGAAATTAGTTCGAGTGTGCTAGAATTTGAAAATACACAGCCGGAACAAATCTGCCACTTCCTTACAGAGCCCCTCCTCCAACACACACGAACGCGCACATGACCAATGAGGGCACGAGATAAGTTTGTGCACAGATGGAAAGCTGACAGGCAGGTAGGCCATCCAGTTATTTCAGCCGGGCCGGCTAAAATGATTGGTCGTGCTTTTTACAGTACTACGGCTTCCACAGATGAATTTTTTGAATGGATTTTTTTGTCAAAGCATTTCATATATTCATCATTGCTATCGGGATGTTAAGAGCATTCCATGGAATATAACAAAAAGTGTATCTCGAGCCGGTTTCTCAAACTTACCTACCCCACCTTTAAGGACTAACGTTTATAATAAATACATTTGTATTGATTTTAAGATCTTTTCATACAATCATACGTATTGGGATCATTTGTATTAATGTAGACCGGAGGGAGAGGGTGACGAGCATAAGTTTCACTTTTTATTTTTTTTAATTTCAATTCCATCTTTGGTCATGAAGAAAATGTTTCTCTGTTGTCCACGTTCATAAAGCATAAAACAACAGCATCAGAGCACAGTGCAGAGTCTCTAGATGAGTTTACAGTAGTTCGTCGTTCTTATTATACATCCATGTTGTAGTCCGCTGTATAGTAAACTGTAGTTTCCATAGTTTCCCCACAGCAGCAGACGCACATTTATGACGTCCGCTGGCGCATCATAAACACGTCGGATGAGACACACAGAGGCCGTGACGTGTTGGTGCGGAGTGTAATAGGAACCGGAGGGCTTGGTAGAAATAATTCACCCAGGGTCATGGTGAAATGTGTTGTGCTCACATAGATGTATGTAAAAAAAAAGGGTGGCATTGGCCACTAAGTGATAGTATCTTGCAGAAAAACATCTTCCAATAAATCCTGACACCTAGTGGCCGCGTTCACACCAAGTACTTTGCCGTACTTTGCCGTACTTAGTGCCGGCACTTAGTGCCCCGGCACTTATTACCCCAGGGCACTTAGTACAGATCGCGTTCACACCGGAATAAGTTCCCTGAGGGAAGATTACGCAAATGAGCCGCTGACGTCACTTCGTCTTCTTCTGCTTTGGGTTTACTGGCAGGCCGCAAACCACTTCATGGTGTATACTGCCACCCGAAGTCCCGGCCGGAAGTCCCCGGAGTTGGGGACTGGCTTCAGTAGAAGCTGCTGGGACTCCCAGCAGCTTCTACTGAAGCCTTCCGAGTAAATCGCCAGAACGCCGACACCTCCTCATCTCCACCGCTCCCATTTTATTTTGTGTTGCCATAAGTTAGTCTCTCTGCGTTTGTACGCTGGGCGAATACTAATGCTAATAATGCTAATGCAAGGATAATAAAATGGCGGCTCTACAAAACATTTCAGAGTTTTACAGGGCGTGGTTTGCAATTCGCCCAGCTAATCAGAACTAGGGAACTTTTTTCCCCCAGGAAAGTACCATCTCTCTAGCAGGCACTAAAAATGGGGGTAAAAGTTCCCGGCACTAAGTATTCTTTTTGGTGTGAACGCGACATAAGGGGTACTAACGGAACTAAATGCGAAAAGTACGGGGAAAAGTACTCCGGTGTGAACGCGGCTCATGAGAGTGGTGCCTTCAGTGCAGGGCCGGCTCTAGACAATTTGCTGCCCTGGGCGAGATTTTAGCTGGCGCCCCCCCAGCCAGAGAATTGTACAATAGAAAAGATAAAGATCGATAGAGTATCCAAGGAATACACAATGGAATGGGGGATGGACGTCACATCCTCTAGGGGGGTCCGGGGGTATGCCCCCCGGGAAGAATTTTTTGAACATTTTAAAGTAAAATGCTTCAATCTAGTGCACTATGAGCAGAATTACTACTAGATCTAGGGGGTACAACTCTAAAACACCCATATGAAAAAGATCGGTTTACATTTTAATAATCAAATAAGTATGTGAACATAACCAATAACCTACCATAGCCAATAACAAATAAAAATAACTTATTTTTTTTGTTGTTCATTCATATCTTATTTTACTTAGTTAACATTTTTTTATTTATGCATATTTTTTTATCTCTCCAGTTTTAAACTACATTTTTGGTTTACTGTCCTATAGTATGCATTGAAATGATTTCAAACCTGTTTATCCCAATAATTATAAAGGAGTGCCTTGGAAATATGTGTTTACATACATTGTGATCAAAACGTTTGAGACCCACTGAGATAAGTTAGACTAAAGTGAACTATCTAAACACTCAGAGTCCTTTACCTCACTGAGCTGTAGTTATCAGCCTCTCAGTCTGACTGGAGAGGACTCTCCCTCCACATTATTGTAGAAACATCTTCTTCTTATATTCGTTAGAGCAGCTAGCACCAGATTCTAATAACAACAGCGTTGGTACCGGTGCACCCTCCCTTTCTCCCTTGCTCGCTCCCATGCTCGCACTTTGGCTGTGAGCTGCGGGCGCCTGATAAGCCAACATCCCCCATTTTCATCACTTACAGCGCCCATCGTACAGGGCAAATGAAAAGTATAACCGGGATGAAAAGGGTGTTACATTTACTTAATTATGAATGTTGTTACATCAAGGCCGAAAATTAGGATGAGCACCAACGGTCAAAAAGGGGTTTTTTCCCTCCCAGAGCTGTCAGCGCAGCGCCTTCCCAGATCTGGCGCCCTAGGCGAACATCTATAACGCCAGTGCTACGGGCCGGCCCTGCTTCAGTGGGCTTAATTTAAATGCTAATCGGGCCTTTTTCTCTCAAAATACAAACACCAAAAAATAGCAGATATTACATGTTCTCTTTATTAAAAAATAAAAACACCTGCGTGCTGTATTGTACTGTAGTAGTGAAAGCATACGAAAGAAGACAAAAAAGGTGACTGTAAACAAAAATACATGTAGACCAAAACCCTGAGAAATGTATTACAATAATTTGTTTTGTACCATGTATATAAAGTGTCTATCAATTTCATTCTGATCGTTCTTTTTTATGAAACTACACAAAATGTGTCATAATTGTGTAGTAATGTGATCTGAGTCCTGCTGTATGAAGCTTGTTTACCTGATCGCACAGTGTGATTCTAGGCAGACTTCTTTGCCTTCTTGTGATGACCTGCCTTGGCTTTTATGTTCTTCACAGTATCCATTTTTTCCTTCTTAATTTTTGTTTTCTTGCCTGCTACCGTCAGTTTTTCTTCATCATTTTCCTCTTTCTTCGGCCGCTTCATATGTAGCATTTCTTTCAGATTTCGGAACTTTTTGAGGTCAGCGCAGAACAACACCTAAAACAAATAAAATACTTAGTGGATATATATCAGACGGATTAAAAGATACAAGACAGAAATTCACAGAGACACAACACTCACCGACTGTGCCCAACCAGCATAAGGACCCCACAGTTTTCTGAAAAAATCCCCTGTGCAAAAATATTACATTTAAACAGTGTTTTCAATAAAAAATACCCATTACTATGATGATAATGAGTGTGACACTACAAATATAAGTTCTAACGAAGTGCATGACTATTTACCGTACCAAGATCTCTATGAAGTTATCTGTGATAGTCTTCTGTCCGTTGCCAGATCCCTAGTTGTAGTCACGTTTAGCAATCTGCCACACGTGTGTGTCTATGGGCACGGCCTCTGCCTTATCCAGGACATCAGGACAAACACAGTCTGCCACCTGAAGGAGAAACATTGCCTTAATTGTATCGAAATAACAAAAAAATATGGAACTAAAGGATTATTTGTATTGCAGTACGCTACTCTACCTTGGTGCCGACACCAGGAAGGGTGCGCAAAGCATCACGGCCTGCAGATATGGGCACTGCGCAAACCTTCAAGCCAATGGATCCCATGGGTGTCTAAATCTGCTTAGCGCTCTGCTGAAGGAACCGAGCCCTGTACCCAAAACCAAGAGCCCTGAAGCCGTGCTCTACGCTGGTGTCTGCCAATTACAGAAAACAACACAAGCATGGTGACAATATGTAGGCATGTAAGTATTCAGCTGCATGGACATATAGAGGCATTAGTAGGAAGAAATTATCTGAATATCATATCGCACAGGGGCCTAGGACTGTAGGGAAATATAATCTAATAGAGTACCTGCGAGCGCAGACAGGAAGGAAAGTTGTGGTAAGAGGTTGATCCAGTTGGCACAGCGGGTGCGCCCAGAGACTGACACAGCCATCTCCACCATGACCCTGGATACGAGTGATGTGGTGTTGGATGGTGCAAATGAAGGAAAACAGGCATTCTGTTGGGTCTGACGCAGCATCCTTATACCTGGGAGAGAAAAACAATAGGTGTTAGGATAATTTATTTTGTCTTACTCAAACACAACCACTGAGAAAGAAAAGAAAATACCTGAGTAGAAGAGAAGAGAGAGACCTTGTGATTGCTTTTCTCAATATTTATAGGTGAACTTGGCTCGAAATACGGGTACTGATTTTAATAGTATTTACTTTGTGTTAGAATTATCAAGTGTTTTTATTTCCATATTACCTTTCCATTCATTATTGCAATCTAGCCCAGTTTTTTTGTTTTAGTTTGTTCTAGTACATTCTGTGCTGCATCTCTTGAATTAAGAATGCTTTACCAAATAAACTGTATTATTACATTATTTTTTTACTAAACAAATACTGTCTCTGTAAAGACCTTCTGTGAATAAGTGTATAATGCATGCATGCACGGATTGCACGCACTCTGACCTGTGAAGATGTCTGCAATGTGCTTAAAGTGGGGGGTCTGCTGCTCCCCATTTCCTTGTAAAGGTCCCCCAGCTTCACATTCACTGGAAATAATCCCTCAGCATCTCTTCATCCTCCTTGGTGTCCTGATGCACTGGAGTCACAGCCCTGGCTCCTCTTCCTCCTTCTTCACAGCTTCTTTGAATCTGTTGTCTGACTTGTTTTCCAGCTGAAGAGAACACCAGCTCCCTTCTTTCCTGCCACTTGTCTCCCCTTGCCTGTCTAGGCTTTGGTAAATGTGGGTACCAAGAGTGTCATCTGTCTGAGTCAGAGTCCAAACCCTTCCTCCTATCACTCCTGTCCAGTGGCCTTCTGCAGTTTCTCTCCACCTGTGGGTAGAAATGAGTTAATACAAAGATACACACGAGGATTTCAACTGTATTAGGTCTGTCCATCAAGTATCATGTTAATCATGATGCTGACAGACTACATCTGAGCTAGACAAACTTACCGGAAAGATTGTCCGCATGCAAGAGTAAGATCCAGACGCAGCTCTGACTTTGCACAGGCCAGAGATCTCCACAACTTCGCCCCCGATGACAGCACTGTATGTTTAGCCCATACCTGTTGTTGTGATGCTAACAGTTAGCGTGATGACTGTTCAGAGGTAAAAACAACTGAAACACAGACCTACCATAATGTCCGAGCATTACAAAACCAGTTACATTTTTATCAGTATATGTGCCTGACTTCGAAAGTAAGACTACACCTTAGTGTAAAATAATTGTAAGCGGAGCTAAAACTTCATTCATGACTTCAGTGCGCGGTTAATGTTTACAAAATCAGAGATAAACTTTCGCGGAGTTGTCTCAGCGAGCGCCGATCATGTTGGACAACAAAAACCCTTACACCGCGTTACAAAGGCCAAGATGCTCATATTTCAGTGCAGTTTTTGCGTTTAGGTGCTTGTATTCTCTCAAACAAAAGCTTATCTGACATAAATAAGAGGATTTGGTATTTGTGGGTTATCTGTTGCCACTTTTTTGTTGTTTTGTTAGACTATCTAAATACGCACTTTTTTTGTTTTTAAAGACTCTCCAAATAACCCTAACCCCTAGGATTAATGTTTGTTCTTTTGAGAAATGAAAAAGTTCGTGTGGAGGAGCCAGCTACCTATTAAAAAGTGGCGACAGATAACCCACTGAGGGTTTTATGGTTTTTTAACTCTTGTTAATAATTTTCCAAAACAGTTTCTCGATAACTTTATCAGACTATAATACTTTATTAGACCGTAAAAGGGGCCGAGACTTCATGAGTCATTGGAATTATTTATTCAACTTTGAGTAATTGCAAAGATTGCAGTCAGTGTGAAATAAATGGAGATCATGACTCAACCTTCTACTTGCAGAAGGAACATGAATGGGGAAACGGGTCTGACAACTGGTGAATTAATTAATTTCAACGATAGTATCTGTGTTCAATTTTAAGATTAATTTCTTTTTAACTTAATTGCGGACGAAAATTGTCTAAAATTCCGTTAAAATTCCTGCTTATGTCCGAAAACATAACTTTCCAAGAATAAAAGGAGTGGGACTGAACTGACTGAAATGACAAACTGTAACTGATGCAACATTTCACAGATCCCGGTAGCCCCTCCTACACTGCTGTCAACACAACTGCCTGATTGGCTCTCTCGTTCATAGTGGGCGGGAAAATCAATCGAGCTCATCCCCAATTGGTCAAGGCTATCCGTGCTGCGGTTTCCTATTGGCTATTATTTGTGTTCCTCATTTTTGCTTTGAGGTGTACAGGAAGTTTACCCCTCCCTCGCTCTGTCTCTCCGAGAAGGAAAGTCGTGTGGTGCGGCGGTCGTGTCAGATCGGTTCTGATCCAACCGGTTAATAAAGGGAAAAAATGGCGGATACTTTAGCACTTTTCACTTCCATAGGTCTCAGTGAGCAGAAAGCGAAAGAAACCTGAAAAATGAAGCGCTGAGTTCCGCTCTGAAGGATGGCAATTATTCAGGTATCACGGCTTTTATGGGGGAAACTGGATTTCCTGGAGAGGACAGCTGTGTGAAATGAGACTGGCATTTATTTTTAAAGCTAACTCGTAGTATCTACCCTTTTTTATTATTTGTCTTTGAAGCTGCTCTATTTAATGGTTTAGAGTTACCTACCATTGTGCACGTGTCTCATAACTTTTGAGTAGTTGTTGTGGCAGGGTCATTTTTCTTTCATTTTCACATTCTTCAGGTTGTAGGCAGACACTCCTCCCAGGGTCAAGATAACACAGGCCATCTACAGGTCATTCCCACTTTTTGAAGGATTAAACTAATCATTCTGATCTTTTTCTTTTTCTTTACAATAGGCCCATCGTGTCCGTGGGGCATCAGGAGTGGACAAAGCCATGGGTACACTGCTGTACAGTATGGCATCTCGCCTTAAAGACCCTAAACGCGTGGGATTTCTTTCAGACTGTATAGTTCAGAGCAAAATCTGCACAGAGCTGCAGCTAGCAGGTAAATTCTGACGTCTTTGACATGTTGCAAGCTGACTGGTCAACACAATGTAAACATGCAACATTAATCACCTCTAATGGATTGTCATTTTTTCAGACTGATCCCTAACACAAGAGAATAATTGTAGAAGTTCATTGCTTTGGATTTATTAACCACTGTGCCTTCCTGCTTCATACATTTTTCTTTTTTTACAGCTGCACTGGAATTTGTTAAGAGTCACCCTCAGGACCCCATCAACCAGAAGGAGTTTGAAGACACATGTGGAGTAGGCGTGTTCATAACACCTGAGCAGATTGAAGAAGCAGTAAGTCCATGAGCTCAAATACCCCAAAGTCTTTTTACTTGCTTTTCTGAGGGTGGTGTGTTCACTGACAGTGTGATCTTGTGCAGGTTGAGTCTGTGATCAAGAAGTACAAGGAAAAGCTGTTAGTGGAGAGGTTCCACTTCAACATGGGACTGCTAATGGGTATGATGTCATATTTGCGTAGTTATGTTTGGACAACATTAAAGCTTTACAAACAGACAGAATATCTCACCAAGCATTTTTGTGTTGCAGGAGAGGCACGTTCTGCCCTAAAATGGGCTGATGGAAAGGTCATCAAAAATGAAGTTGACTTGCAGGTGTGTTTTAAAAAGAAAATATTGTTAGAGGTAGTTTTTTTATTGTGATTGTATATTTGCTTCTGAGGTTTGGTGATTCTCACTGTATACTGGAACTTAATACGACTTTTGTCCTGAAGGTCCTACACCTCTTAGGACCCAAGACTGAGGCTGACCTGGAGAAGAAAGCTAAGGTAACACACATCAGAACATTTTGAAAAAGTTCAGCATTACTGGAAATGTTCTTACTTATTTTCTTTCTGCATCCAACTCAGTCAGACACTTAACCTACATGTTGAATCACAGCTAAATTAACACAGCCCTTCCCTTTTGTGCGGACTAAACAAACTTGATACAACAGAGATTAGGTTTGCTTTATTGGCCCTAGTATTACGATTTTAATACCTTTTTGGTGGAGCCAGGCTAGTTGTTTCTAATTGTTTCCAGTCTTCATGAAAGCAAATCATTTTATATTCCAAAATGTCTCATTATACTATTAGTCACTGCTTGTACTCTTTGGTTTTAATCTGTGGTTAATATCTAACGTTTGTGCAGGCCTCAGAAGGGCTAAAGTCGGCAGAGAATGTGTAAAGGGACGAAGAAGGAGGAAGGGGGCAGTGAATGGTATGAGGTGGCGAGTAGATGTAGGAGTGCTTGTTGAAGTGACATTTATTCTTTGTTTGTGTCTGGCAGTTTGTTTGTTTTTAACTGTGCTTGTTGGTTTTTTAGCTGAGGTGAAGACTGGGGAGGTGAGAGTCACTTACTGGAGCAGCTCCGAGGGGAAGAGGTCACTGAAGTTCCATAAAACAGGTGAGAAGAAGCCATTCTGAACAATCAGAAGCATCTCTGCTACACTCCGTGAAGAGCACATTATGGGATTTGACTTACCTAGTATGTTGATCACCCCTGATTTCATCATACAGGAGAGAACTATAAACTGAGGCTATGTGGTCACACGAAAACAATGGATTGGCTTAACACGCACTTGGAGATCACTGGTGGACAGGTACAAACTTTATATGTGTTGCTGTGTGGAGATAAACACCCATACTTTAAAATGGTGTATATTGATTTTTCTCCTTTCCTTTTACAAATTCCTTTAGATACGTACCCTCGTTTCCCTCCTGAGCCAAATGGTATCCTTCACATTGGGCACGCCAAAGCCATCAATTTTAATTTCGGCTATGCAAAGGTACGTCTTTATTTCCTCTTGTAACCAACCACGTAATATTGTGAAGCAGTTTCGTTTTAAAATAAGTCTTTTTCATTAGGCAAACAATGGAATTTGTTTCTTGAGATATGACGACACAAATCCAGAAAAGGAGGAAGAAGAAAATACTTCACTGCTATCAGAGACATGGTGGAGTGGCTTGGTGAGTTGGATTCAACCTTTGTGATTTAAAGAAAGCTTCTATTAAACTCTACATGCATAAAAGTTTCTTATTAATATTATTGTATGGCACAGGATATGAACCTCATGCGGTCACACATGCATCCGACAACTTTCAGGAACTCTACGACCTCGCTGTGGATCTCATTCGCAGGTGAGTGTATAGACTTTGTGTAAATGTTGGTAAATGTGCACAAGCTGGTTATTGATGTTGGATTTGTTTATATGTCTTCATTCAGAGGTCATGCCTACATTTGCCACCAGAAAGGGGAGGAACTGAAGGGCCATAACGCTCCTGCATCACCCTGGAGAGACCGACCCACAGAGGAGTCACTGGTGTTGTTTGAGAGGATGAAGAAGGGGCTGTTTGCTGAGGGAGAGGCTACGCTCAGGATGAAGATCGTCATGGAGGACGGGAAGATGGATCCCGTGGCGTACCGAATCAAATACACGGCGCATCATCGCACAGGAGACAAGTGGTACGAGAACTGTTGTACTTTTACATTGAGATTTTATTTAAATATGTGCTTTCTCACAACAGGCTGTGTTTTTATTTACATGTTCCTTGTGTTTTTCTGCAGGTGCATCTACCCCACTTACGATTACACCCACTGTCTATGTGACTCTATTGAAAATATCACACACTCACTCTGTACCAAAGAGTTCCAGGCCAGGTATACATTAATGCTTTGGAGATCTGTCGTAACTAAACTATGAAAGCATATTTTTTGGAGGAACATAAATGCATTGTTATGTTACGGTCCTTTTTGTTTGTGATAGGCGTTCATCATATTTCTGGCTGTGTAACGCTTTGGATGTGTACTGCCCTGTCCAGTGGGAATATGGACGCCTAAACCTCACATACACTGTTGTGTCAAAGAGAAAAATCATCAAACTGGTAGAGACTGGCGTTGTCAGGTAACATTTATATTTCTTAATTACTTCTAAGAATAATCTGCCTTGTAATAAATGGGATGCAGTAACACTCAAGAAATAGAAAGCATTTCTTCACCAGTCATCTGATCAGATTTCTTTGTGGTGAATTAGATGCTTTTTATCTTTCTTTTCATGTTACAAATAATCGGTTTGGTAACTGTAGAAGACATTTCTTCTAATTACAGTAACTGGGACGACCCTAGACTCTTCACTCTGACTGCGCTCAGGAGAAGAGGTTTCCCACCAGAGGCGATTAACAACTTCTGTGCCCGGGTATGCAGAATGGACTGAAGGATCATTTGTTGGGTGGAGGAACTAGTAATTAAATGCATGAGAACGGTGCGGGAATGATATGTTGCATCTGTTCTGCAGGTTGGAGTCACAGTTGCTCAGACTACGACAGAGCCCCACCTCCTGGAGTCGTGCGTGAGGGACGTGCTGAATGAACAGGCACCCAGAGTCATGGCTGTGCTGGAGCCACTCAAAGTCACCATTACTAACCTCGCTGAGAACGCAAAGGTTTGTACATGAATTACTAATACAGACAGTGCACGCTAAACAGCACCCTAAGGACTTGTTATATTATTTCCACTGCATATTTACAATCTTTGGTGCTGAATATTCCTGCGGTTGTCTTCTTCTGTCTCAGTCAGACGTACGAGTGCCAGACTTTCCTGCCAACGAGGCCAGGGGCAGCCACACAGTGCCTTTTACACGCACGATCTTCATTGAACAGAGTGACTTCAGAGAGGTCAGAGAGAAAACCCCAAATGATCCTTACAGTTTAGGTTGCAGACTTTCTTTGTGCAACTTTTGGATTGCGGACAGAAGTTGATGATGGACTCCTCCTTTTTGCAGGTGATGGAGAAGGGCTACAAGCGTTTGACCCCAGACCAGCCTGTAGGTCTGAGGCATGCTGGGTATGTCATCTCTGTCCAGAAAATCATCAAGGTAAGATTCTAGATATTCTGAGGTTGGTCCGATTTGTTTATTCTGTTTGAAATATACCTCATAGCAGGGTATGAACAAAAAAGTTGAAAATACTTTACTTTAACTGTTGTGTTTTGAAGGTTAGAAATATGCTTGATTTGAATATAGTTATGCAAAGTACTTGATAATTAATGTAAACCGAATATTTTTAAACAATGAACGGGTCAATAAAAGTCAATTGGTTTTGTGCAGTCCAACTTGATCTGGGTATTTTACATTCTTAGCAGTGTTTGCTTCAATTAAATTAAATTCAAGTTTATTTATATAGCCCAATATCACAAATCATATATATTGTCTCAGAGGGCTTCACAAATCAACAAACACAATTGACAATGTAAAAGCAATGTGAAACAATGTAAAAACAACAAACATATCTTACAAGATAAATGTGAAAATACCAATGAAAAAGGTACATAACACAATGACACAAATACAGTTAGAGTACAATAATTAAAATTCTATAAAACGAAGGGTCCATGAGGATGTTTACTCTGTTGATGTCTTTACTTCCTGGTCCACATCCTCATAACATCTCAAGCTGACTTCACCTTTATTTCCCAGGACGCTCAGGGTAAAGTGGTTGAACTGGAGGTGAACTGCTGCAGTTCTGACACTGCAGAGAAACCAAAGGCCTTCATCCACTGGGTCAGCCAGCCATTAGTGTGTGAAGTGCGCCTCTACGAAAGACTGTAAGTCGCAAAAACAGCTTACTGCCAATCGCAACCAATATTCCATGTTCAAAACTCGCTAAACCAAACTTCTTGCTGTCTTTGTAGATTCCTGCACAAATATCCAGAGGATCCGTCTGAAGTGCCCAATGGCTTCCTGACTGATATCAATCCTGTGAGTATATGTGCACTCCTTTGACAGAATGCCTGTTTAAATCAACAGAGATGTTTTAATGAGTATAGAAGTGATGTTTAAGGTTTTTCCTCCTCTTGTCCTTTAGCTTTCCCTGCATACTATCAGCAGTGCCTTAGTAGATACTTCAGTGAAGGGAGCAAAGGTTTTGGACAAATTCCAGTTTGAGAGAGTTGGCTACTTCTCCCTGGACCCCGACAGCACAGCAGATAAGGTACAGTAAGAACAAAAAGACTACAGCTGTAGTTCATTCAATAATGTATTTAGACATTTGGATACATATTGGCAATGTTGTCTCTTTCTCCCTGCAGCTCGTCTTCAATAGAACAGTCACCCTCAAAGAAGACCCTGGGAAAATCTGATTGACTGAGAACAAGCCACACTTCCTGCTTCCCATGAGCCCACAGATACATGTCCACATTGTTTGCATCATTTAATGTGTAACAACAGCAAGGGGACAAACAGCTTAGGCTGAGATTGACTCAAATCAGATATTGTATGCCGATATCCCTAAACTGAAGTTTTGTTTGTTTTTCTAAAAACAAAAATTCTATTTCTTGATTGTCAGCTGTGAAAACAACTTTCTGCAGTGTCACTCAGTCAATGTCAGAATCCATTTGAACTCTTTCTACAATAGCTGCAATAATATTTACTTACAGTGTTTGTTCTTTGATGAATGTATGCATCTTTGATCATTGTTCAAAAAAGACCTGATGTTTTTTAGGTTAATATTGCCTCTAAGCTGGTGTTACACAGAAGAGATGCTCACAATAGCATACATGACTTCTTTGCAAAGATGGTATAACACTGCCAAACCATCATGTTTTTTTTAAGACTCAGGGGGTAACATGTGTCCTTTTGACAGGAGAAAATAATAAATAATACCAAAAGAACCTGCAATGTCTCTGATCATCTGAAGTTTCCAAAAAATATTCTCACACCAGTAATCATTTAGATTTAGATTTAAGGTAGAACTCAGCTAAAGGTAATGTGTGTGCGCTGTCACTGTATTTCAGTAAGAAAAGTCTGAGAAACAGTCAAATAAATTAAAGTAATAAGTAGTTTATTGCCAAGTCGATTTGAACATGCAATAAAAAATGTTGCTGCATTGGTGCCATATCGTCAGAAAATTAAATAGAAATATAGCAAGTATTGCAAAAAAATCAAGAAACATAAATATTGAATATACGAAAATTACAATACAATGTGTACAATAAATCGAATCTAAAATGAAAGAGCTTTACAGTTTCCATAAGGGGTATTCTTTTGCAAACGCAAAGCACGCTGAAATGTAATGCGTGGGAATTAACCCTGAACTGCCCAAGGCTCACTTAGCACCAGGCAAACATTCAGCGCATCTCTTTGGGACTACCTTAAAAGATTGAGAATCCAGTGAACCACTAGGAGCGTCTGTCTGGCATAACCGGGTTTTAAGGTGGTCTGACATCTACCTGATCTCGAGAGCTACTTTGCCTGTGTGTATCGCCTTTAACGAACTATACTGTCAACACCAGTTATCGCGATATCATCTGGTGGAAACACCGCGATAGCTCGACAGAGCTCCAACTCGCTTTCCGATTGGTCTGAGGGAACTGTTGTAAAATGGCGCCCTGTGAAATATGAGTGATTAATAAAAAGAAAAACTACAGTCAGCGATCTTACGAAAATAAAGATAAATAAACAACACAGCAGCCACAGGGGGATGTCAGTATACGTGTCCCTATAAGAAGAGTGCAGTTTTTTTGAGGACAGATAAGCACGGGTGGGCGGCTCGAGTCTTTGAGGAAGAGAGGTAACGCGCCTGCTAATGTTAGCATGCTAGCTTTGGTAATAACATGTAGTCGGTCTAACGTTACAGACAGCAGACTAACCCCAGTGCCTTCTGGTTTTGCTCCACCTGCTACGGAGACATTGTGTTGTTGATTGTGCTCATGCTCCCATTATTACACAAACAGAGCTGTGGCGTGTTATGTTTTGCAAACAACACACGGCTAGTTAGCCATGTCTGATCTAGTTTGTTGTGTAGCTTCAGCAGGATGCATGTCATTCTAATTTCATTGCACAACTTGCATGTTTTCATTATGCAGCAGTTTCCTTCACTGCTTTTGAATACTGCATCGGATTTGGAAAGTGGCCGCGCTTTTGTCCCTGCTCGTACACAGTCAGATAGATTTAACCCTTTCGTATTACCCTCTGTCAGTGGTGCCACTGGGCAGTGATCTGTAGCTCTGTTTGTAAACACTGTAAAGTGTAAACTGCACAGCATCACCCGTTTTTTGTTACATCAATAACTAAGCAGCTGTCTCCTTAATTTTCAAATGTATTTAAGTTGTGTTATTGAATTCATGGTCAATTTTTTTTGTATACAGGCATAGAGCGTTGCTACGCCTACAGCTAATTAAAAGCACTTATTTCCTCTCATCCTGCCTATAAAGGAAGACACTGTCAGCAGCAATGAATAACTCCCTCGATGGTACGGGCTCCTATGAGGAGCTTGTGAGGCAAAAAGCTCGGAGCATCCCTCAGCATCGCATGAAGGAGTTCCTGGAGTCCTTGGCCAGCAAAGGCCCAGATGCCCTGCAAGAGTTCACCCAGCAAGGCGGAGATGCTACGACCACTACCACGACTATGGTCTACCAACAAGAGCCCAACTGCATCTACACAGACAGCACGGAGGTGGCAGGGTCATTGTTGGAGCTGGCTTGTCCGGTAAATTAGCGCACTAAATGGACACAAATCAATCTGTTAGCTATATCCATGAATCACAGCTCTCTGACAATGACTGTCCTGTCATGCAGGTTCAGGTTCATGTCCAGCCACAGCAGCAACAGATACAGGATTCTCAGCAGCAATCTGTACAGCAGAATACAGAGCAACAAATTGTGCAGGTTGGTACTTTTTAGTATACCTTTGTGCTGTGTTAATTACTTGTTCCTCTTAATTCTCTACTAACATTTTTTTATTATCACTATTTTCTTCAGGTGCAGATCCACGATCAGCAGCAAGGTCAGATGCTTGGCCAGGTCCTTCAAATGCCCTCTGGCTCCCATCAACAGCTTCAAGGTGTGACAACTGCACAGCTGATTCAGCCTGGGGAACTCACAGAGGAGCAGCACCAACAGGTACACATAAGCACACATAATCACAGTCAGCACCATAAGTCACTTTCAAATGTTGCAAATTGCCAGTTTGAATTTAGTTACCATCTATCATTCCACTGTCTTGTGTTTTAGCTGCAAGCCCAGTTGATAGCAGCTGTTGCAGGAGGTCAACAGATACAAATCCAGACAGTGGGAGCTCTCTCTCCGACCCAGCAGCAGGACAATGTTGAGAGGAGGCTACTGGGTACAACCGTTGCCACATCACAGGGAGCAGGGGTCCTCCAGCCAGCCAAGAAGCGCAAGGTCGACATGCCCATCACTGTGTCCTATGCCCTGCCTGGTCAGCAAGTAGCCACAGTGCTGGCTATCCCTCAGGGACAGGGCCAGCAGCAGAGTTATGTGTCCCTGCGGCCGGACCTCCTCACTGTGGACAGCTCCCACCTTTACAGTGCTACAGGCACTATCACCAGTCCCACAGGCGAGACCTGGACAATCCCTGTTTATTCTGCTCCAGCTGGAGCGGGAGGCCGTGAGCAGGTCACCCATATTGCCATCCCCCAGGAAGCCTATGGAACAGTGCAGGTTTCAGGGCCAAACACTACGACAATGACAACAATGCCAACACAAGTTACTGTTGAAAATGACAAGCTGAAAAGTCAGACAATTCAGGCCGTTTCCAGCATTACAAGCTCGGGAGGAATGGGAGGCCAGGAAGAAGTGGTGCACACTCTGTCTGCAAACACGCTGTTCCCTACCCAGCTGATGAACGGAAACATCCACATCCCAGTGGCAGTACAGGGCTACTCCAACGTGACACAGTCCCTCATCTGGGATCCACAGCAGCAGGTGCTGCACACCCAGGGGCTGTCGGGGCACGATGGACAGCAGCTTCAGGTACTAACACAGGTGTTATGTTGGACTATTTTGGCCAGATACACATATTGACTTGTGTTGATTGTTTGCATGAGGTAAGAGTGTTGGTGTGTTTGTGTCTCTGGAGGGTCACACAGTGGTAGCAGAGGTAGATGGCCAGCACCAGGTGCAGGTGCAGGAGCTGCTGCTGCCCGCAACCCTGAAGCCAGAGGAGGGGCTGGAGGTGTGGCGGATATGGGCTCAGAGGAAAAATTTAGAGTTGGAAAAATCAGACACAAACAAACTGGCTCCAATTGGCCGTAAGTACATTTTGACACTGTTTGTTGTAATGTTAAGACATGATGTGTGTGCATTGCCATTATCTTTTTCCTGTAAATCCTGATTTGTGTATTTTGTGTTTTAGGACGCCAAGTACTGCGTTTCCAGGAGGACTTGGTGTCGAGTGCAGTAGCTGAGCTCTGCATGGGTCTCTCCTGCATGACCACAGAGGCTCGGGGGCTGGAAGAAGAGACTTATGAGGCTGATGTTCTCTACTATGTATTTCTGTGCATACAAAAAGTAAGTTCACTATGCCCCACAATCACACACAATAGGCGCTTTCCCCGTACTTTTCCCTTTTAGTTCCGATAGTTCCTGGGATTTTGCGTTCACACCAAAAAAAGAACTTAGTTCATGAGAACTTTTCCCCCTTTTTCAGTCCCTGCTAGAGAGCCTGTACTTTCCTGGGGAGAAAAAAGTTCCAATTTCTGATTGGCTGGGCGATTTGCAAACCACGCCCCGTAAAACTCGGAAAAGTTTTGTGAAGCCGCCATTGTATTTGCTGGCATTTGCATTAGCCCCACGCACCAACGGAGAGAGAATAAGTTATGGCAACACAAAAAAAACATGGGAGCGGTGGAGTGATGAGGAGGTGTCGGCGTTCTGGCGATTTACTCGGAAGCCAGTCCATGGATGTATAATAAGAACTGGATACAGCGTCGGAGGCGGGGTCTCGTTCTTTCCTATGAGAGCTGCTCATTGGCGCATGAGGACAAAATGGCCCAACTTTTGAGAGAGCGAAACGTCACAGATTACCCATCATGCCTAGCTGTCAGAGCAGAAGAACCCGTAAGTGCGCTCACAGAGCATGCGCCCCTTAAGCCCCTGAGCTCCCACTCTCGGCTCAGTAGAATGAATGGAGACAGAAAATAAATCTAGATTCGGCTTTTAGTGCATTTTACAACTTTAAGGGCTATAAAATAGTTCATACTGGGTAGTTTATTTAGTTTTTTTAAAAATATCAGCTGATTTACAGACGTCTCTTTCCCAATGTTAGTCAATGGGGAAAAGTCTTTCTGGGCCCAGTGACGTCACGGACTGATACGGAAATTGTAGTACCGCCGTTTGGACACAACGAATATTTTCATCAGAGTCCGGCGCACTTCCTGGGGGCTTGAGCCAGTCCCCAACTCCGGGGACTTCCGTCCGGGGACTTCGGGTGGCAGTATACGCCGTGAAGTTGTTTGCGGCCTGCCAGTAAACCCAAAGCAGAAGAAGAAGAATTGACGTCAGCGGCTTCATTTGCGTAATCTTCCCTCAGGGACTTATTCCGGTGTGAACGCGATCTGCTCTTTAGTTCCATGGGGGAACTAAGTGCTGGGAACTAAGTACGGCAAAGTACTTGGTGTGAAAGCGGCTATACACACTCATCCATTCAACATCCATTTAATAATTGTGGGTTCTTGGTTTTTATGGAGTAACACTGTTTGACCACATCTTTATTTTCTAAATGTTTCCCCTGCAGTATCTGTTTGATAATGGCCGTGTGGACGACGTTTTCTCCGATCAGTATTACACACGCTTCGCTCACAGTCTGCACCAGATCTTAGAGCCTTGGAGATCATCTATCCACCCGCTAGGTGAGAACAAAGAGTGTTATC